AACGCGCGATGTCCCGTTCCCTACATGTTCTAAGATGTTGTAAACGTTACAAATGAAAATCACCAAAGAAAGAAACGATAAGATTTACGAGAAGAAGGAAGAACTGAGAAAAACTGAGAAAAAAGCAACAGATTGGAAGCTATTAATTCTGCGCTTAAGATAACCGTTGTTTCCGCTGCATACATCAAACTACAGAATAATAGAGTTACAGTGTAATTAATTTGCTCTTGTTTTATATAATGTTATCTTTGCGCGTTTATTCTACGGTATCTTATTAATAGAATGCTTTGGATTGCACATTAGTATATGATCTTCATTGTGGTGCACCGCATTGAGAAATTTTTATTCGCATGAAGTTATGTGAGGAGATTTTTTACCTGTCCATCCGGGTTCTTGTTAGAAGACTGCTTATAATGCGATACATGATTCTAGAATCTCATTCACTTCATGTACCATTTTTCTACCGAGTTTGAATGTCCCGCCTTCAAAATACAATAAATCTCAGAACTAATGTTTCAGGTATGAACAACCTAAGCAAGATGACGGCTACGGCCAGTGAGTCGTTCTTAGTGAATGTCAAAGAAGAGACTCATTGTATTCTTGCCGAAATCGTCAGGCTGGCCGGCTTTTTAACGCAGGACTTCACTGATCCAGTTTCATCCAGGTACAAGCTATTGGTATTGGACTTCAACTACTTCACTCGCACTACTCACTACGAGAAACTGATCGATGAGAATGAGGTACACTCCTTTCTCTCGTTCTTCCCCTCACTTTTAATCTTTTTGAAAACGATTAATAGAAATCGTCTCTACTGTTTCGTCTACCTCAGTTCATTCATTTTTATGCAAGCTTACAAATGTTCGATGTATCTCTTGTCCTTTTTCACTTTAGGTCTAGAGCCAACTTTTGATGCTGCCTTTCTTTTCCGGGGTTAGCTTTTCCCATGCGATAACTGAAATCGCGAATGTCATTGCAGTACAATATCGCAGGTCAAATGTTGAAATGCTTCTATAGATCGACTTCGCATCAGGTCTTGAACAATTAAATTCTCCTACATATCAGTGCCAAAGTCACACCTTTTGTAACATCTTACCTAGTGTTATGCA